TTGTTTAGAGGACGGACTGCTTGGAGGGCACAGTGCGACTCTTTGAAACCTCTTCGTCCGGACTTCGACTCTTTGAAAACTCCTCGTCCGGCCTTCGACTCTTTGAAACCTCTTCGTCCGGCCTTCGACTCTTTGAAACCTCTTCGTCCGAAGGAGGTCTTGGACTCTGTACCAACTCGACACAAACTTCTCCCAACAGCCTCCTCCTGCCAACCAATCAAAACTTGCCCTCTCCATTTGGTCAGTTTGTGACTTGTATATAATATCCGCGTGCAGCGAAACCTCAACTTTCTGTATATTTAGTGGTTTGTGAGGCTTGAGCATGAACACTCTCAAGAGAGAGAGAGAGAGAGAGAGAGAGAGAGAGAGAGAGAGAGAGAGAGAGAGAGGGAGAGAGAGATAGAGAGAGAGAGAGAGAGAGAGAGAGAGAGAGAGAGAGAGAGAGAGAGAGAGAGAGAGAGAGAGAGAGAGAGGAGAGAGAGAGAGAGAGGGAGAGAGAGAGATAAGAGAGAGAGAGAGAGAGAGAGAGAGAGAGAGAGAGAGAGAGAGAGAGAGAGAGAGAGAGAGAGAGGAGAGAGAGAGAGAGAGAGAGAGAGAGGAGAGAGAGAGAGAGAGAGAGAGAGAGAGAGAGAGAGAGAGAGAGGAGAGGAGAGAGAGGAGAGAGAGAGAGGAGAGAGAGAGAAGAGAGAGAGAGAGAGAGAGAGAGAGAGAGAGAGAGAGAGAGAGAGAGAGAGAGAGAGAGAGAGAGAGAGAGAGAGAGAGAGAGAGAGAGAAGAAAACTAACTCGCTGAGACATACACAAACACCTTTCCTTTCCGCCATAAGTATATGTTTGGCCCTATTTGATTTACTTTAAGATATGAGTTGTTATGAAAAGTGGTTATTCTGTTTCGTATCTCATAAAATCTATATCTCTGAGGCAAAACGAAATGAGGCTCAACAGGACGTCACGTGATGTGTTTAAGCCAATGGGATCAGACGACATTAATGGCCAGCTGTGATTGGTCGATTGGAATATCAGTTAAATCAACACAAGCTCGATGAAATGACAGAGAAGTCCGTGTATTCTACTGGCTATAGAGAATATTATGTTTATCCTTGTCTTATGTACCTTAGAAATATGTTTTTAATTTTCTACAGGCCATAATTCAAGTCACTGGTTCATTTTCCGCTTTAATATAGTTTTTGGGGGCTTTATCAAATTTGCTGGAGAAGTAATACAAGGAGTGTATTAATCACACCGCATTTGAAAAAGCATTGGTACCGATACACAGATCAGAGGCGTCACTGTGTGCACTAAATGGTCGATCAAACTGAGGTTTTGACTGACACAAGAGAACACCTTGGAAAAAAGGGAGCACAGGCACTCAGCTGGCACTCTCTATTGTCTTTACTTAACTGTCGGAACGTGCGCTCCTACTTGGTGAAGAGTTATCAAGGTTCTGGAGCTATTCGCAAGATATCGAGTTCTTCAAGAAGGTTATTTATCCACATTGAGACGATTTATCGCGTTCTCTGACTTGAGACGACGCAAGGGTCCTCCGCTTGTTTAAATCAAGTCGTTGGGACAAGAAGGTGCTTCTTGGCAAATCTAGACAAATGACGTTGGGTGAAGCAATGAATCACCTGTGAGTCAACGCTGAATCAATGTTGATTCAACATTACTGGAGCATGTCCTGGCCTTCAGGACACGTAGATATATGGCCTCGTTGCTGTGACTTGAGACTTAGCACCACAACTAAATGGTGTCATCTAAGGATAAACACTGAGACTTTTCTCCTGATATATTTGAGGTCAAGGTAACAAGAGACTCGTCGGATCTTTAAGAACAATGTTGGAGGCTCACCCCATGTTGGCGATGAGTCACAATAACGTTGCTGAAGTATGTTGACCAGACCACACACTACAAGGTGAAGGGACGACGACGTTTCGGTCCGTCCTGGACCATTCTCAAGTCGATTGTCATGCTCAAGTCAAGACAATCGACTTGAGAATGGTCCAGGACGGACCGAAACGTCGTCGTCCCTTCACCTTCTAGTGTGTGGTGAAGGTGTCAAACCTCAAGACAGATGTCATTGGTTTGTCAGATGTCACTTGCATCTAGGCCATGATAGTATCCGGCCTCGGGTGACATCTCTCTCATCTCATGAACTGAGTAAAATTGCAATTTGTAAACAAACCCATTTGTTGAAGCTTGATTGACTGATTGATTTGATATTATGAATAAGTTCTACATTTCTATAATTACTACACATAACACATAGACAAAGATCAAAGAACTTAACTTGGAGTGAGTTCCCAAGATACACCCCGCCACTCAGACCATCAGTCACTCAAGACCAGCTCAGACCATCAGTCACTCAAGACCAACTCTGATCAGTCACCAAAGTTGAATACCGGATATTTGTTTAGCTGATTTACCCTATTGTTTACAGACATTATTGATAGCATAATTCCTATATATAGTACAAGTTTGTTATTGAAGTACCCCATTGTGTACAATGTATGGTGACTGCGTGTTGTGTAATGTGATTAGCGAGAGATCGAGTAGGTTTTGTTTTCTCCATTTGTGTAATTTGTGTCATGATTAAGTCACTCAATACTTAAAATACATTTTGATACTAATTTGTGGTCAGATTAGTTTAGTTTAGGAGTTTAAGAGGCATACATCAGTCTCAGGAGACTATGGAGTTGCGCTCTGGTGGTCGGTTAGTATATATGTGTATTAATATGTATTTATTGTTGATGTGTATATGTGTATCAATGGTATATTTTGCTTGTAGGTACGGGAGTGTTGGTCGGTGTGGGGAGGCGATGGCACCCTCCCTGAGACTGTGGCCCTGGCACCCATCTCACAGTGCCAAAACGCCACGTGTGTCCTCGTATGTATAATTAGTATCATCAGTAACCACTTCGTACGATGGGCAGTGTCAGAGGCAGAGCCTGACCCGCGCATTGTGAGGAGCAGTGTTGCCACATTGATCAGGATCCTGAGTTTATTTGTGTTTCTCACAGACCTAAGACGAGAGGATCATGCAACACTGTATTTTCCCTCTCTGGTGTACTCACCTAATTGTGCTTGCGGGGGTTGAGCTCTGGCCCTTTGGTCCCGCCTCTCAACCGTCAATCAACAGGTGGTGTACAGGTTCCTGAGCCTATTGGGCTCTATCATATCTCTACTTCAAACTGTGTATGGCGTCAGCCTCCAGCCTGGTGTGTGTGTGTGTGTGTGTGTGTGTGTGTGTGTGTGTGTGTGTGTGTGTGTGTGTGTGTGTGTGTGTGTGTGTGTGTGTGTGTGTGTGTGTGTGTGCTTGCCTAGTTGTACTCACCTAGCTGTGCTTGTGGGGGTTGTGCTTCGGCTCTTTGGCCCCGCCTCTCAACTGCCAGTCTGCTGGTGTTCAGGTTCCTGAGCTAATTTCGCTCTATCATATCTACATATGAAGCTGTGTACCGAGTCAGCCTCCACTACATCACTTACTAATGCATTCCATTTATTAACTACTCTTAAGGAATAAAGTTCTTTCTGTCTCTGTGGTGTATTTGGGCACTCAGCTTGCGCCATTGTCCTCTTGTGCGAGTACCATCCGTGTTAAATAATCCATCCTTATCTACCCTGTCAATACCCCTGAGAATTTTGTATGTGGTGATCATATCTCCCCGAATTCTTCTGTCTTCCAGCAACGTGAGGTGAAATTCACACAGCCTTTCCTCGTTACTCATGCCTCTTAGTTCTGGAACTAGCCTAGTGGCATACCTCTGACCTTTCTCCAGCTTCTTATGCTTGGAAAGGTACGGGCTCCATGCTGGAGCCGCATACTCCAGGATTGGTCTTACATATGTGGTATACAAGGTTCTGAAAGATTCCTTACACACGTTTCTAAAGGCAATTCTGATGTTAGCCAGCCTTGCTTACGCCGCTGATGATATTATTTTGATGTGGGCTTCAGGAGACAGGTTCGGCGTGATATCAACTCCTAGATCTTTCTCTCGGTCCGTTTCGTGGAGGACGTCGTCTCCCATTCGGCATCCTCTGTCTGGCCTCCTGTTCCCTCCGCCTACTTTCATTACATTACATTTACTTGTGGTGAACTTTAGTATCCATTTGTTAGATCATTCCTTCAATTTGTCTAGGTCATCTTGCTATCTTACTCGGTTTTAATCCTCCTCATAATTTGTGCATCATAAGCAGACACTGAGAGGAACGAGGCTATTCTCTCTGAGAGATCGTTTAGATATATCAGAGACAGCATTGGTCCCTGTAGGGCTCTCCTGGTGACGTCTCGCCCCTCTGAGACTTCACCCCCTCACAGAGACTCGCTGTCTTATGCACTAGCCTCCTATGGGGCTCTGTGTCGAAGGCTTTCTGGCTTTCTCTGTACTCACCTATTTGTGCTTGCGGGGATTCAGCTCTGACTCTTTGGTTTCGCCTCTCAACTGTCAATCAACTGGTGTACAGATTCCTGAGCCTACTGGGCTCTATTATATCTACATTTAAAACTGTGTATGGAGTCAGCCTCCACCACATCACTTCCTAATGCATTCCATCCGTTAACTACTCTGACACTGAAAAAGTTCCTTCTAACGTCTCTGTGGCCCATGTGGGTACTCAGTTTCCACCTGTGTTCCCTTGTTCGCGTCCCACCCGTGTTGAATAGTTTATCCTTGTTTACCCGGTCGATTCCTCTGAGGATTTTGTAGGTTGTGATCATGTCTCTTGTGTGTGTGTGTGTGTGTGTGTGTGTGTGTTGTGTCACGCAGATTATACCAACGATCTAGAGATGATATTTTAATCCTATACATGGCTTTACAGAGCAGTATCCTCCCCCCTCCCTACAATGACCAACCTCCATCCCTCTTCCCCCTCTCCCATTTTCCCCCGCCCCTCCCCCAACCCCCTCCCACCCCTCCCTCATCTCAGCCTCCACCACTGAGAAGGAAGTCTCCCTCCCCCCTACCTTCCCTCACCTCCTCCCCCTCACCTGGTTCACTTCCCACGGCAGGTGCAGAGGGAGATCAGAGAGAACCTGAGCACTGAGAACCTCCCCAGACAGGAGTGGGACACGTGGGACCCCATGTTGATAGCTGAGGGCCTCTTCGCTGCTGCTAACATCTTCAGGTGGGTGAGAAGGGTGGTATTGGTACCTCCGGCCATCACTCACCATCGTTACTCACCATCACCGTCATCACCATCACGATTCACCATCACTCACTTCTGAAAGATGATATATATATATAGGGGGGGGGTAGAAATAGCCTAAGCTACTCTATCCCTTTGAGATATATTTCTTTCTTGTCTCAATAAACATACTTGAACTTGATATATATATATATATATATATATATATATATATATTATATATATATATATATTATATATATATATATATATATATATATATATATGAATACAGTTCCGGCCTGATCGTCATAGCAATACTATTGGATCAGCTGTAGAATAATGACTCTGGCTGTAATTTTAGTATTTATAATGACAGTAGTAGCATTAGAATAGCAGTAATACTCTAAACTACACTATTATCCACTTGCACTAACAACACCACCCCCAGCCACTCAAACATTCACTCTCACACAACCTGACCTATACACGTATACACACACTACAACATTCTCTCACCTACACACACCCCCACACACCCCCCCAAACACCCCAATTCACTCCTGGACCCACTCTTAAGAGTCTCTCTCTACTCCTCCGCAGCTCTCTGAAGCTGGTGTACATCTTCAGCGTGAACCCTTACCTGGGGCCCCTGCAGGTCTCACTCTCCAGGATGGTGGTCGACATTCTCAAGTTCATCTTCCTCTACCTGCTCACCTCTTCGCCTTCTCCTGCGGTCAGTAATGTCTTTTGTTGGTCTTTTTATACGACGGCTCCTCGAAGATGTATCTGAGATTAGTTATATATATATATATAATATATATATATATATATATATATATATATATATATATATATATATTTATATATATATATTATATATATGTATATGTATATGTATTTGTAAACTAAGGAGTATTTTTATTTTTGTTTGACATTATTGTATCTATGTATTATAGGTGTTTATAATATGATATTATTGATAGTTTTTTATGATAATTATTATTATTATTGTTATTATTATTATTATTATTATTATTATTATTATTATTATTATTATTATTATTATTATTATTATTATTATTTATTCCTGTTCACTATATAATTCACTTCATTTTTCATTATATTTTTCTCTTTTTCTCTTTTTTTCTCTTTTTCTGTTTTTCCTCTTTTATTTTATCATCTTAGAGCTATGTTTCTGCTGAGAAGTTTACTTCACTTGTTACATAATTTTGACCTTAGTATCTGTTTTGTCTTGGTGTTCTTCCTCTCCCAGCTCCTCCTTCCCAGCTCCTCCCTCCCAGCTCCTCCCTCCTAGCTCCTCCTTCCCAGCAGCGCCCAGCAAGTTTTAAGGGAAATTTTACACCCCTGATTCTATTACGTAAGATGTCATCATGTTTTTCTTCTTTTTGAGTCGCCTCTCTCTCTCTCTCTCTCTCTCTCTCTCTCTCTCTCTCTCTCTCTCTCTCTCTCTCTCTCTCTCTCTCTCTCTCTCTCTGACTCCCTTTCCATTCCCTCCAATCACTTCTCTTCCAGTTTGTGATACTCTTTCCACCTACCATCACTCACTCTCACATCCGTGGTTCTCCAACAGGTATGAACCAGTTGCTGTGGTTCTACGCTGATTTGGAGAAGCAGACCTGCGACGAACTGGGCCTGAACCCGGAGGGAGAAGATGAGACAGGACCCAAAATCGACTCTTGTATTGTCTGGAGGAGATTTTCAAAGTTAGTGTGTGTGTGTGTGTGTGTGTGTGTGTGTGTGTGTGTTGTGTGTGTGTGTGTGTACTACCTTAGTTACACATGTGTGTGTGTGTGTTTATTGATTTTGATTGATATAAATTGATTTTTGATTGATATATAGTTAGTGGAGCATAAATAAATAAATTAATAGCAGGATAATTCTTAATATACGTACTACTAGTAGAAGTATTAGTGTTGGTGGTGGTGGTAATAGTAGTCGTAGTAGTAGTCGTAGTGGTGGTAGTGGTGGTAGTGGTGGTAGTGGTGGTAGTAGTGGTAGTGGTGGTAGTGGTGGTAGTAGTGGTAGTGGTGGTAGTGGTGGTAGTGGTGTAGTAGTGGTAGTGGTGTTAGTAGTGGGTAGTGGTGGTAGTGGTGGTAGTATTGGTAGTGGTGGTAGTGGTGGTAGTGTGGTAGTGGTGGTAGGTGGTGGTAGTGGTGGTAGTGGTGGTAGTGGTGGTAGTAGTGGTATGGTGGTAGTAAGTAGTGGTGGTGGTGGTAGTAGTGGTATTGGGTGGTAGAGGTGGTAGTGGTGGTAGTAGTGGTAGTGGTGGTAGTGGTGGTAGTGGTGGTAGTAGTGGTAGTGGTGGTAGTAGTGGTAGTGGTGGTAGTGGTGGTAGTAGTGGTAGTGGTGGTAGTGGTGGTAGTGGTGGTAGTAGTGGTAGTGGTGGTAGTGGTGGTAGTAGTGGTAGTGGTGGTAGTGGTGGTAGTATAAGTAATTGTGAACAGCATGATCACAATCAATTTCAATAACCTCAGCAACGGTTCTAGGAACAACAATTTTAGTTAACATAACAACAACGTTATCATAGTACATAGAGTAGATTTTGTTGTATTATTAGTAAAAAGAACAGTAGAATGCTTAGTTGGTGTAGTAACAGTAGAATAACAGTAGCAACAACAGTAGTAACAGTAGCAACAACAGTTGGTCCAGTAGTAGTCGTTGGGGCAACAGTATCTCTGCCGTTAATTGTAGCATCGGTTATAATTATAATAACAGTAGTTGTAGTAACAGTATTTGTACCAGTAGTTGTAGTAACAATATTTGTAACAGTAGTTGTATAAACAGTAGTTGTAGAAACCGTAGTTGTAGTAACAGTAGTTGTAGTAACATTAATTGTATTAACAGTAGTTGTAGTAACATTAATTGTATTAACAGTAGTTCTAGTAACAGTAGTTGTAGTAACAGGAGCAAAATCAACAGTGACAATAACAGTATCTGTAGCAACAGTATCAGCAACAGTAATGAAAGATCACCAATATTATTGCATTCATTTATATTACCGGTGAAATGATTCGCACTGAAGTATGTATCTTACAAGTAGTTGCCGTGGAATTAATAGCTGGTTATCACCATGCTAGCAGTGCTAGTGGCAACAGTGACGACAGTGGTTAACTAGCAGCATGTATCGGACCCGTAGCACTAGCACAGTTACGTACAGATCAAATAGTGTACGAGGCCCGAGTAAGTGAAATGTGGCGCGCGTATGACGTAGAGTTTATTTCGACAAATATATGTTCGTTCCTTTTATTTGATGAAATGTGGTTTTCAAGCATTAGGGTGTCCTGAGATTGTGTGATTCCAGGTTAGCCTAACCTAACCTAACTTAACGCCTGATCTTGTGTAATATTCACACTCATTCAGCTTTCATCCACAGCCTCTTCGAGACGACCCAAACGCTCTTCTGGGCGGCGTTCGGCCTGATTGACCTGACCAACTTTGAGCTGACGGGAATCAAGCCATTCACCCGGTTCTGGGGCATGCTGATGTTCGGCACGTACTCGGTCATCAATGTCATCGTTCTCCTTAACCTCTTAATTGCTATGATGAATCACTCTTACCAGCTGGTGTCCGTAAGTTCTGTAAGTGTTTGACAGCCATGACAGTAAGTGCCCCTAGCAGGGGGGCGCCACAGGGGCGGACACCAGACCATATTAGACTCAGCCCGCAGTCATAGTCTCATGCCACTTCGATCTCTCTCTCTCTCTCTCTCTAGGGGAGGAAGACATGACAGAAACCAAATGATCTCGCTTTCATCTCCTCAGTTCATTTCTCTCCTAGTCCTTCTGACGCTCCATTTTCTCCCTCTCAGTTATTACTGTTGCTGAAACGAATTTCCATGACTGCTATTGTTACTATTTCTAGTGTAATTTACGTTAATAAGAGAGTTATGACTTCTATTTATATGTACCGCCTGGTATTCATACTTCTAATGGTAATAATAACACTATTTCACTACTATTACTTGTACTATTACTACTTCAATAACTACCACAATTATTAATGCTGTGACTAATGGTACTAATATTACTAATAATGCTACTACTGATAATGCTAATACTACAGTACTATTAATATTACTACTACCACTACTACTACAACAACAACAACCACTACCACCACTACCACCACTACTACTATCACTACCACTACTGCTACAACAACACCACCACTACCACCACTACTGCTACAACTAATATTGCAACTTCTACATTACATTTCAATTTTTACACGCAAGATATTCATTACCCAATTCAAGACTCTAGCCATTTTTGAAACCGAGATCTCTAACCAATGTTGAAAAAAAAGCATCAATATAAAGTACATTTGGAAGGTGTCTTAGATATGGAGACAAGATCTCTTGACAGAACTTTTCATACTAAATGTTTCCCTTCATAGGTTTTTTTATGTTTAATAATTAAAGGGTTATTTTTTATTGATTCAGTTTTATAATTACTCTATATTTATGTTGACCAGACCACACACACACACTAGAAGGTGAAGGGACGACGACGACGTTTCGGTCCGTCCTGGACCATTCTCAAGTCGATTGTGAGACTTGAGAATGGTCCAGGACGGACCGAAACGTCGTCGTCCCTTCACCTTCTAGTGTGTGGTCTGGTCAACATTTTTCAGCCACGTTATTGGGACTCATCGCCTGCACTCTATATTTAGTGTAGGATTGATATTAACTACTATTTCTATAACTATAACTACTACTACTACTATTATTACTACTATCGTCATACCTTCTGCCATTGCTACTGTTCAGTGCATTGTTTTAGTTCCTTTTTGAGACACAGTTGCCTATTGTTTACTTTCTGGAGAGGATGGTGTTGCGGGATAGGAACGAGTGTCCCGTCCCGTGAGGCCCCTCCTCCCCCCCCCCCTCACCGGCGCGCCTCTCGCCAGATGTGAACCAGTTGACACCTTGTGTGGTCAGTAATGGGCATACCCACTGCGGAAAATTATCAACATCTAATGGGTCGAGTTGCTCCGCTTAGTGAACGCTATGACTCTCATTTATACGATGGCGCTTTACAGTACTGTGATGGATGGTTTCGAGCATAGTGAGTGTGGGTGTAAAATTCTTCCATTTTGTGTACGACACAACTTAACAGCTTGTTTGTAAAGTGATTTAGTCAACTGTATTAATTTATTGCAGTTTGTGTGTTAGTGTTAGTGTGTGTGCGTGTGTGCGTGCGTGTGTGTAAATAAGTATTAAGTAAAAGCAAAAAAATGTTAGGTGGGTGTGTTGAAAACTGTTACTACAGAATTTGTAGTAATATTTTCACTGTGTCTGAGAGGAAATAATTTAGTTTAGCGTGCAACGTAATCCAGCCACTTAAACTAACCCACACCAGATATTGGTCAACAAATTATATCTTAACATCGAATGATTAGCCTTTCTTCCCCCACTGGTACGAAAAGACACAAGTCTATTTTGTACCAGCAACTTGCTAAACGTTTGACCGTCTCCACAGACATTTCCAGAGAGTTGATATGATGTGAGTGTTCGGTTGATAGCCTTAATCAAACCCGCAGGGTGAGTACTTTTCTGATATTGACGGAATCTGCGTTAGTATTGATGTCCTGTGAGAGGGAATTTGAGCTGCGCTTTGAGCAGGCGCAGCCCTTCTTTTGTCCGACCCTTTCAGCTATACCCCCGTTTTTAAATATGATCAAATGTCTTCGTCACTTGGGACATTCTCGGAGTCATAATTCAACAAATGCTTGATAATAACTGCAAGTCAAACTTGGAGTGTCAAACTTGGAGGTTTCCTCATATGTTTGAGCCCTTTTTTAAGACTTCCTCGTCCTCAGTCTTTCGTTCATTCCTGAGCTGTTCACCGTTATTCCCCCCTTTACCCACTCTCCTACCCTTCCTCTTTTTTTCCCTGTTTACTTCGCCTCGCTGTGGTTGGCTCTGTGGCATGTTCTGTGGCTCCCCCTGGCACCTGTGATCCCTCGCACCTCCGCAGCCATAGAAACACCTCACTAGCACCAGTCAGCTCCTTCTCTCATGTGTGTGTTGATGCTTGCAACATCATACCTTCTCCTGTGTGTGTGTGTGTGTGTGGACATGCTTGCAATATCACACATTTTCCTATATATGTGAATTCTTGCAACAGTACTCATTTCCCCCTTTTATTTCGATACTTGTAACATCACACCTACTTCCTTCTTTGTAAATGCTTAGTGCTTCTCACTTATACATGTGTAGATGATTGCAAGATGACACCTACTGCTATCTCTGTAATGGCCTGCAACGTCTTCCCTTATAATTTGCTTTATTGCAAAGTACTTAGATGGAATTAACTTGAGTTATCCCAGTGTTTTGTGTGTTCATTTTGTTTGCAATTATTTCGATATCTGGATAGACAAGAGACGAGATCACTGTCTTCTGATAAGACTTCCTTGCGTCTCAGACCTCGGCTGTTGACCCCCCCCCCCCCCCCCGAGTCGTCGGTGGACCAAGGGGTTGCTGTCAGGACCGTTCCTCTCCATCTGTATGTAAACAAAAACAAGAAAGGCAAAGGGATCAATCCGTTGACGTTTGTAAAGAAAATATGGGTTATTATATTGAGTCACGGTGTAGAGAGGGCTTCTTATTTTGTGGTAATTCATTGGAATTTTACTTATTATCGGGGTAAAGGCTAGAGGAGAAGGTGGCGTTTGTGTGTGTGTGTGTGTGTGTGTGCGTGTGTGTGTGTGTGTGTGTGTGTGTGTGTGTGTGTGTGTGTGTGTGTGTATTTATGTTGGTGTGTGTATCTTTGTGTCTGTTTCTTTCTCTCTCTGTCTCTCTCTCTCTCTCTTCTCTCTCTCTCTCTCCTCTCTCTCCCTCTCTCTCTCCTCTCTCTCTCTCTCGTCTCTCTCTCTCTCATCGTCTCCCTCTCCTCCCTCCCTCTCTCTCTCTCCTCCTCTCTCTCTCTCGTCTCTCTCTCTCTCTCCCTCTTCTCCGCCCTCTCTTTCTCTCTGCCTGTCTGTTTGGTGTAGAGGTCGAACAGAGAAGTGTATGGTATCACTGCTCTCAATAATCTCACAATATCTGCCGTTAGCCTTACATACAGATGGAATGTCGATTCTCCCTTCACCTGCTCCAGTGTTGAGACACTCAAACCTTCCGACGGGAAACACCAATTAGTTTGTCATTTCATGTAGCTCTTCCTATTTCCGGTGCCTTCCTTAGACGAGTAAGAGCTCGGACGACCCTGGCCCAGGTTCTTGAAGTATCTTTGCAACCACTTACGAAAAACTGTACATCTTTCAGTAATCTCAGCGGGTTTGTTTATAGCTTAATATCGGAGAGTTTATGAGCTTTGAAGAATTATGAGGCTGTTTATAACAATAATAACTTTGGATTGTGAAGTTTCGAGGACTGTATGTTGCTAATAAATGTAAATACGACTGCATTTATCCTTTTGTTTGCAATTATTTCGATATCCGGATAGACAAGAGACGAGATCACTATATTAGGACTTAAGAGACGAGATCACTATCTTAAGATTACTATCTTTAAGACTTAGGATATCTTAAGACTCAATCCGCCATGATTATTGAAAGCTCTACAGATTTCACAAGTGGATGTATATTTATTTGACACATTCTGGCCCTTTTTCAGCTGGCCTATTTTATTCCTCATAGTTTATTGCACTTATATTTTTCACAATACAGGAAATTTTATATAGCGCATACATTTCTTTCTTCATTCCCCCTTAAGCGTAGAATACTAACTTTTGAGGTCTTAGCTAGTAGAGATTAGGTTACAGACCTTCCTGTGTTTTGATAGTTGCCTGCCAAATGCAGTTTCATGCTAATTAGAATTTTTTTAGGAGTATATTATAACTTTCGTGATTGTTCTGTCATATTTAGTTGGTGGGGGTGTCCGGGGGGGTCATCGTGGACTCCCTCACCCCCCTCCCTTTTCTGCTCTCCATCATCTTAAGAAGGAGATCACTATCTTAAGATCACTCTCTGCTCTCCCTCATCTTAAGAATGACTTCACTATCTTAGGATCACTCTCTGCTCTCCCTCATCTTAAGAACAACATCACTATCTTAAGATCACTCTCTGCTCTCCCTCATCTTAAGAATGACTTCACTATCTTAAGATCACTCTCTACTCTCCCTCATCTTAAGAACGACATCACTATCTTAAGATCACTCTCTGCTCTCCCTCATCTTAAGAACGACATCACTATCTTAAGATCACTCTCTACTCTCCCTTATCTCCTCTACACTCATCCTCCACCCTACCCTGCTCTTCCTCATCTATCTCTACTCATCTCTGACCCGTTTCTACTCTTCCTCATCCCTCTTAATCACTCTCACTCGCCTTACTCATTTCCCCCCCCCCCCACTTCCACCTGCTGTTCTCTAATTGGTCAGCGAATCTAATTAAGGACAATCAATGGCTCCGTTGTACTTAGACATTATTTTATATATGTGATATATTTCTGCAGATTATTATTATTAACAATATTGTTATTATTAGTATTAGTATTATTAGTGTTATTATTACGAGCATATTTGAAGGAATTATTAACTTCATTCCGTGTCTTAAATATCGATAT